GTCTCAGTTTAAAATTGTGGTCAGTTTTACTTCTGCGTTCAACATGAAGAGAGTGTGCTGAATAATGGCTTTAGAAGAAATTTTAAAGTATTGATATAAACTAAACGGCTTATCAGTCTTATTAAAACTAAGGATAATGTCTAATTTCAAAGAGTTGCATATGTTTATATTAAGTTTATTTTTATAAGGTAAGTGCTTTTAACATTAATGTTTTAGTTCTAAGTGACATTTATTGTGAAGATAGGTACATTTTAGAAGTCGATTTCATTTGATTATGTTTGCGTGAAAAAATGTTAATATATATCTTTTGCTTAGTTGAAGGCCTTATTTCAAGTTTAAATTTGCACTTCAAAACCTAAACTGAAGTGATGTAAATTGTATCCAAGAAAATTGGACCACCCAGTGCATTTCTCTATAGTAACACTTAGACAAAAATAAAAAGCCTTAAAAATGTATGTATTTTTTACATTAAGATACCTTTAATTTGCTGTTGACCTAACTTAGTCATAAGGGTTTTCACAGGTTTTGTCAGATTGATTGAATTACTAAGAAGAAAATGAAATAGACGGAAATATAGTTTATTCTTTCATGGTCCATTTGCTAAAGCATTGCTTTGACTATTGAATGTTATGTCAACCGAATTCATACCTATCCTTTACTAGTATTCTGCAAGGTTTCTTATAAAATAATTTTATTGAAATGGCTGGAAAATATCAGCTTTTTACTGTCAATTAAACTTATAGCTTTGCAAGTATGGATGTTTTCTTAGTTTTCTAGCCTTTTACCCTGCATTGCTCATTTGTTTATTCATTTGTTAATGTAGGCAATAGTTATGGGGGGCTTCCAGCTGCAAACATGTAACCTGGGCAAATCACTGAAGACTTACTCTGCCTTGGTTTTGTCAAATAAAGATGTTGCTATTTCTATGAGTATTGAGGGTATTAAATGAATATTGTGAAAACTCCTGCAACTGCTCTGGGTTCATAGTAGGAATTGCCACATTGTTATTTTTCTCTTTTTCAATCTGGTCCCCAGTATCTACTCTTTTACTTGAGAGTGTCTAGAATTTAAATTTGGAAATTAAATTTTAGAAGTTTAAAGTTGGGGGATATTTTAGCAATATTGTTGGAGGATAATTTGGGAATAATTTTGATCCACTTCCTCTTTTCAGAAAACCTGAAAATGAACCTGGTCTAAATTTATTTAATTTTAATCCATGTATTTTCCTTGATCATTACTGCAATTAATAAGGTGCTAGGAGAGGAAACAGAAGGGATGACAGAAGAGAGAAAAAAAGATATATAAAAAGTAGAAGGTGTATTGACATTATTTCTGATTTGCCCAGATGTCTAATTATTTCAAGCTTCAGTCTTTTATTTTTTTAAATTTTGCTAATTTGGGAAATAGACTTTATTTTTTAAAATTTTGCTAATTTGGGAAATTATGGAAACTTGCTTTACAGTCAAATTGTTTTTAATGAATTAATTGCCCTTTAAAAGAAAAGTATTTGCCAGTTTCCTTCAGAACTGATGCTTTAGCATCAGGTTGCCATCTGCCTTTACTTAATATAGGAATCATGCCATAGCACAGATCTGGGGAAACAGACTGGTACCAGCAGACTGAGGTCTGTTCCCACTGCCTTCCTTGAATGACTTCAAAGCTCTCTGAAACTGACTTGACATCTTTCTTCTTCTGTTACCTCCTTTGGTAGTTGGGGTTAATAATGACTGTAGACTAATATAGTAGTAATGCAATTATGAGAACTAATAATTTCTATAAGGAATTCATTGGAAAAAGTCCTGAAAGTCAGCCATATGGGCTGCATAATTTCAATTACATTATAGATAAGCATCATTGAGGTAAGCAGAACTCTAAAATGGTCCCCAAGAATCCTCTTGGTCTACCAGATTGTATAATTCTCTCTGCCTGTGGGCAGAACCTTTGAATACCATGGTGTTGTTACTCCATTGTTTAGGTTACCTTTTATAACAATTGCTGGTGGGACAGTTACTATCATGTTTACATTATTTATTCTGTAGGAGGAACTGAAGTCAGATAGGGACTTTCTTGCTTTCCTGAAAGAAAGCTAATATCCAGTTGTGAGCTGCTTTTGGTGCTAAGGAAATCTTAGCAGTGTCTAGTTGCTGGGAACAATCTCTGACTGAGAACTGACAAGCGATCAGAGACCTTAGTCCCACAACCACAAGGAACTTAATTCTGCCAAAAACTGAATGAGATTGAAAAGGATTCCTGACTCCAAATGAGAGCCTCGGTGTGCCTAACACATAATTTTTGCTTTGTGAGCCCCTGAATGGGAGGTTAAAGCTAAGCAACACTCAGGATTTTGATTCAAGGGAACAAATATTAAATATGTTATTTTAAGCTGCCAAGTCTGTGGTAATGTGCTTTTCATACAAGAGAAAATAAATATAATTTGTAGAAATATCATACACAGAGAATCCTATACTTATATACTTAAATTGACTCTCTTTTTTCCAAATAAAGTTGAAGGTATGAAAAATAATGTTTCTATTTTTGAATGATTTGAAATTTTTGCAAAATGAGTAGTTAAGCATAGTCATAATTTCTTAAAACCATCTTATACTTTTTCCTCATAATTTATGATAGACTTTAATTTTATGAACTGCCAGAAGCAGTGGAGCCTATACATTACATTTATCCATATTCCCAAATGTTTGTTTTAGTAGAAATTGAGTAGGTTTAATGTAGTCTTCTTGTATGGATTGACTTGTGTTTTTGGAAGACAGTTATGAGGAAGTGATATTTGCTTGGATTCGGTGATTGAACTACTGTTAATTATAAAAACAGCCACGTAAGCTAAAGGTGACTGTTCAATTTAATTTATTAAAATGTAATACGAGGAAGACCAAGCCATTAGGTGTGTGTCAGATTTGCTGTATTTTAGATTATAAGTGTTTGGGTGGCTACACCTACTCTCTGTCTTATGGAAATAGCCAGGAGAGTGAGCTCATCAAATTGCAGGTCAGTGTGACATAGTCCTCAGTGAAGTATAACTAATCATTGTCAGAGGCCCACAGAAATTCATTGTGTGACTTTGCACTGTTTTGATTCCTTTCCCCGCCCCAATGAAGATATAAAAATTGGTAGATATTGGTGACTCAGATTTAAAATTCCTCACTTCAGATGAATTCCAAGACATGCCAGGGGTGCATCCTGAATTTCTTTCTTTCATTGGGGATTTATTCCAGTTCCCAAATGAAATCTATGAAAATCATGAACATGATTTTTCATGAAAATCACCAACATCTTGAGTCAGTCATCAAGAAATTGTCCTTGGTGATAATTCTATTCTGGAGATCAAGTATACATGCATGAGATTCTAGACAATTTTGTAGACAACACCGGATAATCAGACTGAATAGTATGCGGAGAAACAAGTGTAAATCAGCCCCTAGGGCAAGCTTCTAAATTCTAAATAGACAAGCAGTTTTATTACTCATCCAGAATTACATGCTTTTATCAAATTTTGACAAAAGGACTAAAGTATAGACTATGAGTTTCATGTGTGTGTGGAGTATGTGGATTGTTTTCATATTCATATTCCCAAGGATCAGGACTATTCTGAAATATATAGGTGGTCAATAAATAACTGTTGAACAAAAGAACTGAGTCATATTACTAGTTCTTCCTTCAAAAAAGATAGCTTATGAAACACAATGCAACCTGCTGTACTAATGGTTGCATTCTGACTGTCTTGTGCCGTGCCTTAATTTTATCTAAAATGTATGTTTATAACATATGTTTATTAAAAGAATTCTGGTAGATTTGAAGAAGAATGAAGATTGTGTGAATAAAAGAGATAATGTTCTTTTCTCTATAACACTAAAGCCTCTCTGTTGCTCCCAGTTAATCTTTTATTTTCTTTTCTTCCAGGCTATCACACCTCCAGTAAATTTTTTCTTTACTTTTCTGAACCCTGTCTATTATTTCCTTTATATTGTGACGTATATAGAATAAGACTGAGCATACTTTGCCAGTAGCAGTTTTAGATTTTTGAAGAATTATTGATCATAGGATTATGTCAATGATGCCTGCATTACACATCAATCCTTATAAAAACAATTGTTACTTCTAAATTACTGAATGAAAAAAATGTGAACACATACAGTGATTATTTGAAGAATCTTTAGAGAACACCAAATGACTTGAACAGTGCTCAGTGACATTGTTTGGTATAAGAATAAATTATTTTTCCAGAAACATATGTACTATAAATTTATATAGAGATATAGATAATCAACAGAATGTTTCTTTTAAAAACAAGTACAGTTTAGAAAATTCTTTAACCCATATTCATTGATAATTTTTTCTGGTATTAAAATCTAGGAAGGAAGGAACATATATATGACTATAGCTACTACCTAATAGAATATGCAATTATGATGTAAAGCCTAATTTATATGGTGATTTGCTAATAGTTTTCCTTCTCTTTCTTTTCTTTTTCTTTTTTGCTTATGAGGTTTCACATAGCAATTTTCTTCTCTCTCTGCCATGTGTGTGAGCATGCACATGCACCCCCCCCACACACACATATTGCTTTATTCTCTACATCTGTGTTGTACAAAGTGTTGCTTTGCCCTGTGGCAATAATAGAGAAACAGCTGTGATTTAGGATGTCAACTTCTCCATTAACATCAAATGCTTCAATGGCAACTCTGAATAATGTTTTAAATAAATGTGTTAAGACTATGGCTGCATTAATATTGGGTGTGAACTGATAAATGTCTTAGGGACAGTGATAAAGATTTTAAACACTTGTTAGTTTAAAGATGAAACTTTCATAATCACCCCTTTTGTTTTTATGAAGTTATATATTAATAGGCAGGTTGAGGAATACTCCATGACCCCCACAAAAACTTTCATACCCTGAATGGGTTCTGCCATCCATCACATAAAGCCAAAGAATATTCTAATAGACTTAGTGAGCATAAAGAGACAAGAGAAAGGATAATAGTTACCCAATGAAACACCCAAAGTTTCCCATCTCTTCATGGGTAGATGCCCAGCCAAACAGGATTGGCCCAAAGCAGAGTCACGCTGAAAAGTTTGCCACAAGTCTAAGGCGCCATCTGGAAGGGAACCATGGGCAAGGGGCAGAAGAGGCCAGGGATGTCTGGAACAAAAGCAGCAAAACAAAGTATACATAAAGATGGAGGCAGCCATTGTCAGCCTCCCCATTTGTCTCTTCCTGACATCTCTTCCAAGTGTCTACATATCTTCACTCTGTATTTCCCCTTCTATGTCCCCCAAGTCCCTGGAGCAAGTCCAAGGCTGAGAAGCCAGTGTACCTTGCTTCAAATGTCTCTCTGCACCATGTGTCTCCTCCAAGTCTTCTTTCTTTCTTTCTTTTTTTTTTTTAAAGATTTATTTATTTATTTATCTATTTATTTATACATACAAGCACTGGGTACAGTCAGAAGCGCGGGAGGGTGAGAGAATTCACCAGAGCCAGAGCGGGGCGCAGAGCAGGCAGAAGGACCGAAGTACACTGCTGAGGGGAGCAGTGGGCGGCAGGAGAGGTCTGCGTGCCATGTGGGACCCTCCTCAGGTGGCCGGGGAGCAGCCGGGGATCGAACCAGCGCTGCAGAGGCTGCGGGCAGCTTCGCAACCCAGCACTCAACCGCTGCGCCACCGGGGAGGTCCCAAGTCTTCTTTCTTTAAACCTCTCTCAAGTCCTTTTTAGCTTCTCCTTGGTGCTCAGCTGCACACTTTCTTAGGTGGACCAGAGAACCTGAAGCCTCCTGTTTTTAGATTACATTGTTCCATAATGAAGGATAAGGAAAAGATACCAAATAATTTCCTCCTCCCTCCCCAACTCCTTTTTTCCTTCCTCTACCTTCCTCTGTCTTCCCCCTTTGTTTCTTCTCTAATAGTATGGATTTGAACAAATATTTATCAGTAAGATTGAGGCAAATGAAAGAAGAATTTTTTTTTCCTTTCTTCCCATTATTGTCATTGCTTCTCTTTTTCTCTTCTTTTGTTTCTGTATATACCAAATCGAAGTGTGGATGGGCTGGGTGAATAGCAAATGAAAAGGGAAGAGAATTTGAAAGATGGGGAAAATTAGAAAATAAAAATAAAGAAAGACTTCCCTGAGACAGTGGTGCTGAACTCCAAAGTGAGCATGACAAAACAAGACAGTACTGAGTCTAGAGCTTGATGCTGGATTATATGAATTTAACAATTAGTTTAAAAATTTTAAAACCTGGGCCTCCCTGGTGGCATAAGGGTTAAGTCTCAGTGCTATCACCTCAATGACCTGATTTCGGTCCCTGGCCAGGGAGTTAACCCACATAGGACACAGCAGACCTCTCCTGTCTCACTCACAGCTCCCCTCAGCAGTGTATTTCAGTGGTTCTGCCTGTGCCGTTCCCCACTCTGTCTTTGGTGAATCCTCTCACCTCCACACCTTTGGCCTACATCCCAGTTCCTCCATGCATAAATAAATAAATCTCTTTTAAAAATTTAAAACCTAATTATTTTTATAGGTAAATCATTTTCCTTAGGCATGTTTTGGTTGCATTTTTCTATTATGAAAGTTTAGATCCCTTTAAATTGTAGATGGGTCTCTCTTATTGAACTTTTAAATATGTGCATATTTACACTTTCCGAGTCTTAATAAATGCATCTATTATGATGATGCAGTTGATGTAATATGCTAACAGCAACATAAATATAGAGAGAATTAAATATTTTTAATATAGAATTTAGACTTCAAAAGAAGTTGTAGTACATAGTGTTGGAGAACATTCATAAAAGACATAAAAAACATTCAAAAGAGGATATTCCATAAAAGACATTCAAAAATGCAGAATAGTAATTGATCACATGTATTTGTAGTAACAATATAATTTAAATAATAACTTCTTATCTAATTATAAAAGTAACATATTCTCAATAAAGGAGAATTGCAAGGTGAACATATAAGAAATAAATGTCAACACCTAGTTATAGCCAAAATTTTTATACTTATATGATTATATATTTATATTTCTTAATTTTTCTTTGTACAATCTGACTTTCTTTTTATACTGCAAGTTATAGTATATATTATATATAATTTATTATATAAAATTATGGCATATAATTTATATATTTTATAGTATATATAATTTATATATTATTTTATAATATATAATGTATATTCATTTTGGGTACTGGATGAACCCTCACTTAATCTCTGACATTCATCAAATTATTTAACCATTTCTGCTTCAATTTCCCCATCTATAAACTAGTGTTAAAGGGACTGGTAATTTTTTTTCAATTTATTTATTTTGTAGAAGAACTGGGGTATAGGCCAGAGGCACAGAGGGGTGAGAGGATTCACCAGAGACAGTGTGGGGAGCAGTACAGGCAGATTCTCATTGCTGAAGGGAGCAGCAGGTGAGACAGGAGAGGTCTGCTGTGCCAGGTGAGGCAGCCCCCTGACTGGAGATCAAACTCAGGCAGTGGTGGTGATAGCGCTGAGACTTTAACCCCTAGGCCACCAGGGAGACCTGAACTGGTAAATTATAAAAGATACAAGTCAGTTTGGGTCATATTTTAGGCAATTGTTTTATGCTACTTACTATGTACCTATAATGTTTTTATTATTGGCAGTCACATCATCCATCCTGTAAAAAGAAACAATATAAAGACAACTTTGTGTTACATCATTACCTACCTAATCAGGCGGTATTTCTTACTACTTAGAAAACAGATTCACAACACTGAGAATGTTGTCACAAAGGAAGCTTTTTATTAGTGAGTCATTAGTGTCATTAGGGAGCTAGTACTCCTTAAAAAAATATTCTCCAGTGTTGAGTCAAGGAAGACTAGATAGGAGGAAAAAAAGGAAACACAGGACGTGTAGGGTATAAGGAGGGTGTCTTCATTCTCAGTTCAGGGTGTCCCAGGCAGGCTAGGCAGTTAGTCACAGAATTATTAATGACCTCCCTGAAACTGTTGCTTGTTGCTCTCTTTCCTATTATTAGTATAAAACAGCCCAGGGGTGATCTTAAGGCTCTGATGTTATTAACATCCTCAGAAGGATAAAAAATATCTCATTAATCTTTAGGCAACCAGCTACCATAGTCCTGAGGGTTGTGTAGGTTAAAGACTAAAGAAAGGGTCATATCCTGGTCTTTGGCTCATAACTGAATACAACTCTACGTACATTTGATGGTTTTTGTTCAACTAATAATGAATATATTATCTTGAATATACAAATATCTATTATATAGTGAATTATATGTAATTATATGATAATGTATGAATTATAGGTATGTATAATGTATATTTAAATTATATAAATATATAACATAATTATTATAAATTAAATATGTATGGTTATAAACCATAAATGTTGGTGTGATATATATATACATAATTATATAAAATATATAAAACCATCATTAGAACAGTGACTCACACAAGCATTCATATCTGGGATGCGCAGCAGATTACTGGTTAAACACTCTACACCTGATAGCTAAAGTGTTATTTTATCCCATTATTTCACTTTCATTTAATTTTCCTGAAAAAAAAAAAACAAAAAACTTTAAGGGTATTATTGAGTCTGTTCTGTGGAGAAAGCTGAGACTTGAGCTAGCAAGTTGAATAAATATCCCCAGATCATACCTACAGGATAAAGCCTACAATCTTCTCACTATACTCTTATTATGCTACTTTGTCTTCCATTAAAAGAGATGGAAGGGCTCCCAGTGGTGCAGCGGGTTGAGTGCAGCGATATAAGGCTGTCTGCAGCCTCCGCAGCGCCGGTTCGATTCAGGGCCAGTCAGGGAGATTCTACATGGCACGGCAGACCTTTCCTGTCTCACCTGCTGCTCCCCTCAGCAATATTTCAGTCCTTCTGCCTGTTCTGCTCCCCGCTCTGTCTCTGGTGCATTCTCTCACCTTCCCGCACCTCTGGACTGTACCCCCGTGCTTGTATAACTAAATCTTTAAAAAAAAAAAATAGAGATGGCGAAGATGGAGAATCTCCTAAAGTTACTTGAGAGACAGAATCAAAAACACATGATCCCTTAAATGGGTGTGTGTGTGTGTGTGTGTGTGTGTGTGTGTGTGTGTTAGTATACAGCCAAGTGTTATTCTAAACTTGCATACTCTATAGGGATCAGGCCGAGTATATGCACAAAGACAAAGAAAGAAATTTAATATAATTAATGTATACATAGAAAAGATAAGAAAAAATATTCTAAATAAAACACCCCAAGTTACCCATCCCTTCATGGGTAAATGCCCCGCCCAGTAGGATTGGACCAAGGAGTGCAGCTAAGGCCTGAAACCTCATCAGATGTCTAAGTCACCTTCTTGTTGGCAACTATAAGTAAAGGGTAAAAGGGGACCGGCATGTCTGGGACAAAAGAGCAAAATCAAAGCACAAATCAAGATAATATCTGCTGTAGCCAGCCTCCACAAGTGTCTATTGTTGGGTTCAGATGATGAGATTCAGTGTGGGGTTCTTGGGTCCCTCTGAGAAAAAATTCAGTAGATGTTCCCATTAATCAGCACATGGCAAGAAAAAAGTGAGCCCTTCATAAACACAGTATTACCATTTCTTCAAAGAGGAAATGCAAATGGCCAACAGGCATATGAAAAATGTTCAACATCCCTTATCATCAGGGAAATGCAAGTTAAAACCACACTGAGATACCACCTCACACCAGTGAGAATGGCACATATCAAAAAAACAAGCAACAACAAATGTTGGCGAGGATGTGGTAAAAAAGGAACTCTCCTGCACTGCTGGTGGGAGTGCAGACTGGTCCAACTACTATGGACAGCTGTGTGGAGGTTCCTCAGTCTACTGAAAATGGAGCTACCTTATGATCTGGCAATTCCATTCCTAGGGATCTACCCAAAAGACACAAAAACATTGATTCAAAAGATCAACTGTAAACAACTGTACACCTATGTTTATTGCAGCACTATTTACAATAGGTAAAACCTGGAAACACCCCAAATGCCCAAAAATAGATGGCTGGATCAAGAAGATGTGGTACATGTACACAATGGAATATTACTCAGCAATCAAAAAAAGATAAGCTCATGCCATTTGCAGCAAAGTGGATGGAACTAGAAGGAATTATGAAATAATTCACAATGGGCTCACTTATGGCAGGAATATAGGGGAACCAAATAAGACATCAGTGTAAAAAATAATAACAGTACAAAACACAACAAAGCAAAAACGGGCAATTATAAATCAGAGACATACTGCAGGGGAGGAAGGAGAGGGATCAGAGGGAGGGAGGAAGGAGCACAGGGGACTGAGGTGATGGTGCACGGGTGCATTGGGGAAGGAAATTCTATGGGGACTACACCTGAGGGGTGGAAGCAAATATTGTTTAAAAATGAACAATGATGTAAAAAAATTAATATAAAATAAATAAAATCCAAAAACAACAAAAAATAAACAGTCTTACAAGACAAGATCTATTGTACAGGTGAGGGGATGTTCTTATATACATTGCTCTTTGATGGAATTTATTCCTTTGTAAAACCTATAGCCTGTGGTCAGGTGAGTTGATCTTCTATGGTAGATAATCCTCTCTTCCCTCTTCCCCACCTCTGTTAATCTTTTCTGATCCCACCTTAAATTCCTAGAAACTTGCATTGCTAGTTTAAGATTCCTTAATCTTTACTACCCCAGCCTCTGGTATTTGTCCTTCCATCTTCAATTTTTCACTCTAGGCTTCCATCATCTCCCACCCACGTGCCTCTTCCAAGTGTCCCTAAATGTCTCTCCTGTGTGTGTCACCTCTAAGTCCCCAAAGTTCCTGTTGCAAGTCCAAAGCCAAGAAGCAACCCAGTCCTTTTCTCCACATGTCTTCCCCTCAGCCGACCTGCCTTCAGTGTTGTATAGTTTACTTGTCCACTCAATTCTGCCCATGGCTAAGTGGGGTGAGAAACATGGTAACTCTTCTTTCTATGGAGATGTCTCTGTTAAAATCATTTGCATATGTGTATGATAGGCTCAAGTAGAAAATCTGAGGTCAGGAACAATAATTTGGTCATGTCAGAGCAGGAGGGCATTAGGGTAGTGGAGAGAAACTGCTGCAGAGTGACAAGTTTTGTACAAGATGTTTATTCAAAACGAAGTATAGCTGGTGAATTTTAATTTGCATGACCAAAGGTTAGGAGACCTTTTCAGGTCACTTATTAACTTAACTCTAATAACAAAATAAAGTCCTCTGACCCTAGGTTTCTTCTCTACCATCCTCATGCTGGACCAGGATGAACTCCCAGGGCATCTATAGAATAAGATGAAAAATCCCGATCTAGGGCAGCCTTATTTCAAAGCTAGTTACTACTTATAACCAGGGATGATGGTGATAATATTTAACCAATTTAAGGACATGAACACTGACTATTGAAAATATATGTCATCTTAAGACTTTACTGGGTCAGAGGAAAGTGATAAACAGATTAAGTCTTTCTAGGAGCGGTCCTTACAGAGAAAAGATTATATATAAATATCTTTTAAAAAAGTATCCCTCACCCAGCCCGTAGAATTCCTCTCATGAAATTGACCTTTTGTCAAAAAAAAAAAAAAAAAAAAAAAGCAACAACATATTTGGGGGGAGCAAATTCTAGCTCCTTTACAGTATAATTAAACATTTAATTATGAAATAGTATAGAACTTAATGAAACTCCATTACTAATAATTCATAAAAGGAAACAGCTACATTTTAGAACCCAGAATACTCAAAAAGATTCCAAGAAATGATACAGTTGTTTTACTGAAGGTATCTGTATTTAATATATTTTGTATAGGAAAATGCTCAATTCATTTTAAAATGAAATATTAACCAGAAAAATTATGATGATAAATAATTTACTTTCTATCTCTGAGAGTCAAGAACTAATTCACAGGGGTGATTGGATTTTTTTCTTTATTTCTCTTGGGTTAAAAGAGACTGTCTGGGGGGGCGGGGGATCATGATCTCAGCAGAGATACTGGCTACTTATTTCATAAAAGAAAAGGCATGTCTGGAGACAGATTCCAAGACATTTTCAGAATTTCTTAGTAAATTGATTTTGACTCTCTTGACCTTTACTTGTACCTCTTATTTTCTTCACAGAATTTTTTGCTTTTCTCTGGAGAGTCTAAATTTTTTTTATCTGTATATTCTTCAACCATTCACAGTATTATAATAAAAGATTTACCAATACCTTCTGTGATTTAACTTGTTTTTGTTTTACATAAGCAATTTGTCATTTATATATTATAAATACATGACACGCATAGTGATATAGCATCTATTTCAGCCGATTTAAATATTTTCATAGATAAAATCAAAGAAAATATTACAAATTAAAAAGATAGGAATGACATAAGGTATAATATTTATGATTCTTTTGAAACACTTTATATTGCTACTAAATCAATGTAATTACTGGATTCTATGATGAAAATCTTTTTTTAAACTTTTTGTTTATTTATGCCTCTAAGAACTGGGGTATAGGCCAGAGGTGCTGGGGAGTAGTGAGGGTGTTCACAAGAGACACAGTGGGGAGCAGAATAGGAAGATATACTGAAATACACTGCTGAGAGGAGCAGCTGGCCAGCCAGAAGAGGGTCTGCTGCTCCTTATGTGGGTCAGCTCCCTGGCTGGGGATCAAACTCATGCTGGTGGCTGATGATAGCTTTATAGCGTTGTGTCTTTAGAGTTAATATGAACTGTCTGTTTTGCTTTGTTTTGTTTTTTTTCTACCATAGAGGTGTAAAATAAGCACTATTAGAAATTTTTAGATTATATAAAACTGCATTTGGTAAACTATAAAATAAGTCTTAGAGAGTGGAGAACAACAACCGTTATTATTAGTTCAGGTTATACCATCTCTGAAGACCTGAAGGGTAAACTATTAGTGGAGATAAGCAATTAAGACAAGAGGGGGATATGGGTCTGATCATAGAACTCTGAACCAGAAGAAACAATAAGAAACCTCTGAAATTGGTGACTATGAGGTAAAATATGTTTTTCATTCTTCAATTGAAGCAACTAATATCCAGAGAAACTATTTTTTCAACTGTGTGGTGTTTACAAGAATTAGAAGAGAGAGAAAAACAAAGTTGTATAGTCAGGTCATGTATTACTTTACAAGAGATGTCTTATATAGTCCTCATGGCAATTATGTGATACAAATGCTATAATCCCCATTTTTTAATGTAAAAAAAAAAAGAACCAAAAGTGTTGAATAATTATGCAGTTAATGTGTTTGTTTCCTAGAAGCAAAATGCAAAAAGTGACTTAACACAAATAGTCCAGGTGGAAAGTCTTAAATTAGAGTTTCAGTATGGTCATGTTTTCCTCTGAAGGCAAAAGGAAAAATCTGACCCAGGACTGACTTTTAGCCTCTGATAGTTTCTTGGTCACCAGTAGCGTAAGTCCAATCTCCACCTGACATTCTCCTTGTGTTTTGACTGTGTTCAAATTTTCCCCTTTTCTATGAGAATTAACCTATATGACTCAACTAATTACATCTGTAGTAATCATACTTCCTAGTAAGGTCATATCCTGAGGTACTGGGGTTAGATCCGAAAATACAAATTTTGGGGAAAGGAAGCCCATATGTTGGTAGTGCAATTAGCATTTAATTGAATTTTTTTTTTAGCCTTTACATTTTACATCACTTGATGGCATAGAAACATTTATACTTTGTTCCATAAGAGATAATTTAATGTAGCACATGTGTTATATATTAGTAAAGAGAAGAAAAGGTTGTACTAAACATTATTTGGTAACAAAATCAGGCAAGGATTGTAACGCCAAAGGTGGATTTTGACTTCATGCTGTTAGGAGTTAAGGCAAAGTTTTAGAAGGGCAAGGTGAAAATAGTGGGTTTTAAAAAAATATTAATCTGTGCATATTATGTAAATTGAATAAGAAGTAAGAAAGAGTGAGGAATGTAGGAAAGCAGTCAAGCTCAGAGGTTCTACCTAAGATGAAGCTTAAAAATATAAGGCCCCAAATAGGTTGTATTGTGACTACTTTGGAAAGCTGTTTTCTAAGACTTGGCTAGTTGCATGTGGAAATAGAGAAATTAGAAATATAGGACTTCATAACTGGGTATCAAGGAAACTGGTAATTTCTGTATGTAGTAAAGGTATTTTTACTTTCTGTTTTAATTTTAATTATATTTCTTGGTTTTCTCCATTGTCCTAATAATAAATTCTTTGCTGATTCACTTGGTGTCCTTAAATAAAAATGGTCATACATTCCTTATGGAATAAGAACATAAAATCAGATTTTCTGATGAAAAAATATGGTGTAATATATAAATAAATCAATTTGCATGAGTATAGAAAAGCATTATCCAAATGATAGATCTTGGAGTGCCTACGTTAACATTGAATTTCTGTGAATGCAACACTGCATTCTTCTGATAAAAAACTTCCATCAGACACTCATATCCAATTTGCTCTTACATTGAAACTATTGATCTAATGTTTCTTAAGTTATTGGGCACATAGGTTATTTTTACTGTCTTACCTGATCATCTTGGCACGACTGCGGGCTACTCTGCTATCACATTGTCATGTTTGCAATATATTTCATCAGTTATGTTATGAAGTGTACAATTTACATGGTATACATTGCCAATCCTGAGCAAAAAAGGGAAGGAATGAGAAAATGAAGCTTTGTGTCTCATAGGAAATAAATATCATTTTCTATATCAATTCAGATTTCAGTCCTAAAAATAATATAGTTGGAGGTTTTTTTTAATAGATGTTCTGTAAAACAAATTAAAATGGCAGATCAATTTTTAAAAATAGCTTTTAAATACACACGTTTAAAAAAATGTGTCTTTGAAAAGTTCAGAGGCAATTTTCAAAGTGGATAAAATAGGGAAAATGGGTTGCATAAAGATAGGATATATTTAAATTTCAAGACTGATATAAGAATCATACTTTACACAGACAAATCGTTTTTCACTGATTCCTTCCTAGATCTCTGACTCTATACTGTCTACGTATTGGAGTCATAGATAACTACTTGATTGGCTAGGGGTATGTGGGACCCAGGAGTCAGTATTATTTAAATTTCAGCAAGTGATTGTTTTGCACTTAGAAGGAGAACACTGCCCTAGAACTTTTATCAACTTGGAAATTGCATTGGTAAACTTATACTCAACAGTAACATTATAATAATATAACATTATAAACGCAGCATTCAATAATCCTGTTTGCTACCAGTAATTAATATATCAGTGAATAAAAAATATAAGAATTTATGTATATACTATACACAAATGCTCATCTCTGTCATATTAAACAAGGACTTCCTTTATCTTAAAGTGAACAAGAACTTACTGAGGAGAAAATAGCCTTGATATTTAGTTGCTTAATGGAGCAGAGAAACACAAAACTGATTAATATTTTCAATTTACCTTCTAGTTTATTTTTCTTCATTTATTTAATGCTTTTTTATTGAGTAACAAGTATGTGCTAGGTACTATTGTAAGTTTGTTGGTGCAGAGTAGTGAATAGAAAAGACATAACTACTCTCCCTCCAAGGAGTTTACATTGTAGCTATGGGAAACTAAAAAGAATTTGGAACTTAAAATCATTGTTTCAATTTCTTTGCTTCTTATAAATCACAATATTGCAGTTAATTACAAATTTCTATTCTGTAAGATATATAATGCTTTAGAAATAGTTAAATTTTAAAATTAATAAAATATTTAAAATTATTTATGATTCCGGTAAAAACTTCATCTTAAAATTAAGAAAATACAACCTGAATAACAGATATTTAGCCACTCTTGGCATCCATATGTGGATCCTGAAATAGTTTAGTTGTTCAAAATGGTAGTAGAAAATGGAGTTGAAAGCTTTACTTATGTTCTGGAAGTATTTTTTTTAGAATTATTTTATTTTTCTTCATTCAGCATATGTTTTATTTAAATTTTGTATAAGAACATTAACTGCCATTCAGTACAATCAGATATGTCCTGCACCCTATTCCGAAACTCATCACCCTATATGCAAAATAAGAAAAAGCTGGAAGACAGATGAAGGAGAAAGAAGTCAGAAGAGAATAAGCAATTAAAATATGCTTCTGTGTGCAGATAGAAGTGATAAAGTCTGTCCTTGAGAATACGTTGATTTGAAACAGTGGAGCACAAACCTTATTGTTCATTTGAGAGAAACAGAAATATAATGATCTTTACTAAGAGTTAGTATTATGTTCGGAAACATTAGCATTCAAATTAAGTGCCATGTGTAAGATTACTGTGCATATTTGCACAAGACTGAATAAAACATCCAGGAAAAGCAACGTCTATATGAAGGCAATGCTTCTAGTCTTGTTTTTCTGTAAATCTGATCCTGGCAGTAGATTTGAATCATTGAAAACCAATTAATATTAAAATTGACCGGAGTAAATGCAAATTATAAAATAAAAGATAGTTTAGTATTTTATTACAGTAAGGGATACTATGGATAGATGACATGTTTAATTTCCTAGTATAATCTGTTAGAAAAATAAATTTTGATAACTAGTGACCTATTAAAATTGAATTCTAGATTTACTGAAATAAACCTGTGACTCTCAGAATATTGCAGTGCAAATGATGCAAATTAATCTAAGGACAAGTAGGATTTATGGTCTTATTTCTATATTTGATACTCTAAGAATCACCTTTAAACTTGTTGACTTTGACCTGCAACTTTTATAGACAGAGTTGAAGATTAAATTTGCTGCTATTATGGAATAAAAACTGGAGAAAAATGAGGCTCAGCTATGATAAGATCTTTGTTCATTTGAAGCAAAGTAATTTCTTGAATTTACTAACAATGAACCACTCAAGAAAGTTTTCTTGTCTGTTTTGAATTTCAATAAATATTTTAAACCCACAGGTAATGCACTTTTTTGGTTGGGGGGGGGCACAGATAATATCTATTATTAGGTAAGATGTCTTTTTGTGAATTGTTATTTACTGCATTTATTCATACTCGTGCAAAGCATTTTTACACCTATTTTACCAAAAAGTCGAAATTCATTTTGAGATTAATTTTATCATTTTCAGTTTGTATTCTTTATTTTATTTACAAGTATGTTCAATTTTCTAATGGTCCTAAAATAGCAGTTTCTTAAAAGTTCTCTTGGGAGAATTAATATTCAAAGTATGGAAATTTATACTTTGCTATTTAGAAATTGAATAAAATGTACTGATTGAAGAGGATATTAGTCCTCTTTGGGATGACAGTAAATAATATATATCAAATCTAGTCGTGGGTTTTTCTAAGTATCCCATTTTTTTTAAGTATCCCATTTCAGAGAAATATCTTTTAAATATAGAATTGTACAAACTGAAATGTTCTTCCAGATGGACAGTCTTTCAGAAAGAATTTTTTTTTCTTTTAGATATAGAGAAACAAGGAATGAAACATTCTATCTTACTTTGTTTGCCTAGAAAATGTTAGAGCTCTTGGACTTTGTAGCAGGTCTCTTATTTTCTTTCAGTCTTCTCTACCAGACAGGAAGAAAATGGGGCATTTAAAAAACACAAAACTTTTTTAAAAAAGCAAAAATAGATGTCCACACTTCTGTGTTCTCCTCCACCAGAAGAGTCTAACTGGGGTGGGTGGGGAGGAAGTGAATTAAATTTATTTTGGAAACGAAAGCAAACCAAACCCTCTCTAATCTTTCTTGTAGAGTCCCTATGTTGTGGGATAATACAAGCTATTAAAAATAATGTCAAGAAGTTCTAAGAGGATTCAAGGGGGGAATGGGTGGTTTATGGTGGGAGACGTGAGAAAATGTTTATATCTATCTATTCACCATTTCTGCCCCTACTATGAGCCAGAAGCTATGTTATATAGATGCTGGAAACACAGAAGCAGAAGTAGATCAATTATTTGTTCTCTTGGAGCTTCTCTTTAATGGTGTGAGAAAGACTCAAACAAATAAAGAATTATAATTGTAATAAATGTCATGAAAGGAAGCTGCACATGCAATGAGAGATTAAGATAAGGGAACTGTCACAGAGATCAGTGTGAGTGATTCAAGTAGACTTGGAGAAACCTCCATTCTTCTGAGGATTTCTGTTGTTAGATAAGGTTTAACATATATCCTCTATAGAAAAATGTATAAATCATACATTAAGATAGAAGAAAGACACGGCATTAAAAAATAATAAATTTACTTGTTTTCCATGACCGACAAAATAAAGTACCACAAACTGTGTGGCTTGAAACAAAGCCATTTAGTCTTTTATAGTTCTGCACACTAGAAGCCTAAAATCAAGGTTTCAGAAATGCTGTCCTCTCTCTGAAGACTTCAGGAGAGACTCCGATCCATGGTTTTTTTCTTAGCTTTTGGTGTGGCCGGCAATCTTTGTCATTTCTTAGCTTTGTTGATATGTCACTATAATCTTTACCTCCATCATTACGTGGTGTTCTCTCTATGTGTCTCTCTCTGTGTCCAACTTTCCCTCTTCTTACAGGATATCAGAATTAATAGATTATGTCCTGGACATAAAACCAGAAGCAAAAGTTCAATTGGTATCACCTCTCCACGACTACATTTAAACATTCTTAACATTTCAATATAACAACCAAACCCAAATACCCGATTTATTTGTGTAGACGATAATATTTTTTTGGAATAATTACATCATCATATGTCCACATATATCATGTTTTGCTTGACACTTAAATTTCTGGATTTTGTTACCAATAGATGCTTTATGCCTTCTATAAATTAAATTCTTGCATTTTTTATGGATCGGCAAAAATAGCATAATAAAATGAAAATAACATAGAGCCTTATGTTAAGAATGTCACAAATACTGGATGGTAATAGAGACTAGTTGACAAAAATTTCCTCCATAAAGGGGTAGGAAAATACTACCCCTATATGAGTATACTGACTTCAGATTTAAAGATCTCATCTGTGTAGAGATCATCAATCTGTTTTATGGTTGATATCAAAAATTGAATTTTTTTAACCATACTGTCATTTAATTAATGAGTCATTTTCAGCTTGTCAGGACTTTAATTTGATTTAGAGATAGGCCTTATTTTTAATATACCTCATTTTTCTAAGAATTATATTCATAATTTATATAGTTTACAACATTTATGTTTTATTATCTGCTTAAGAGGCTCAACTACTCTTCACAACATTCATCATTTATAAATGGCAAGCAGTGATTAAAACTTGATTTTGCACTAACTTGTCGGAAGTGAAGAGACCAGACTCTATGGTAATTCTTTGTCTATTTATGCTTCAGGATTTAGAAAGCATTGTTTATACTCTCCTATAATGTTTACTGATTCTGGTAGTTTGGGGACAGAATGAAAAAAGCAGTAGATAGAAAAAAATACTAGGAAAAGAGTGGCCAAAAAAAAAAAAAAAAAAAGACAATACATGATACCTAAGAATACATAATTCCTTTTTTATGAATATTTCCCAGATATGTCATTTTAGATGTGTTTATACAGCTAAACAAATTGATTAAAAAAGATAAGTAAAAGCATAAGATTGTTTTTCCAATGCTGTAATGGAAATAATCCTCTTAATGTCACGTATACATTTCTTTATATTTTTAGTTTAGAAAATTCAATCTTATGACATGAAAATAACACATAACTTTAATGCGTTTAGCTTTTTTCTTTCAAAAAGCTACTAATCTTTTGTCTTAATTAATAAGCACATCATTCATTCAGGGAGAGCAGTTGTGTGGGCTTCTCTGTTCCTTAGTGTTGGTGACTTGCAGGTTTTTTAAAACCCATACTTCATCACATAATTTTCTGACTTCAATTATACTTTTAAGGATATAACAGGTAATGAATAATAGAATTGTTCATAGGGTTCTTAAGAGTTGCAATAAAAAAATGAGATAAAAACATTATAGCATTTTGTACTAGAATGTCTTATATTCAACAAAGTTGCATATCAATATTTTAAATCTCTGCTTTAAATATGAACCTTTAAATTTTTCTTACCCTAAGACTTAAAAGATAGTGAAAATATAGAAAAGTAGTGATTTATTTCAAAATCTAATAATAAATCCTATCTGGACTAGGTGAGTAATTGGAAAAAGGAAAAGGATAATATGATCATTAGTAACATGTAGAACATATTAAAGTGGAGACACTTTCAACTTGCTATGTGTCCTCAGACAAGGAGTCAGGAGATTTGGGAAGGAAGAGGAGGCACAGAAAATGCAGTAACCCATCACACTGGAACACATAACAGTAACATTTCTTTTTATTAAATCAAAGTGAATTTTAATAAAACAGATTTTATGCAATGGAAATGACATTGCCCATTTTCCCCCTTAATTAAATCGCTTAATTTACCTCACATATCTTCTTTCTGAAACAAGCTGAGTTTATAATTTTTCATCACTGAGTAGTATTTCATTCTGTATATATACCACATATTCTTGATCCACTTTTCTGTTTTTGGGCATTTGGGTTGTTTCCATATCTTGGCTATTGCAAATAGATTTATATTTGCTGTAAACCTAAATATGGGAGTGCAGGTTTCTTTTCAAATTAGTGTTTT